GAACTCGCGGGTGGGCCGCTTCTGCATCTCGGGGCTGAAGCCGAGACCACGCAGGATAACCGCTGCGCGCGCCGGCGCCCGGTCCGCGTCCGAGGCCTGCAGGCGCGCGTACACCTCCGACAGCTGCTCCGAGAGGTTGGCGTCCTGGTGGCTGGAGACGGGAGATGAGGGTCACCACGGCACGGCATCCTGGTGGCTGGAGACGGGAGGGGAGGGTCACCACGGCACGGCGTCCTGGTGGCTGGAGACGGGAGGGGAGGGTCACCACGGCACGGCGTCCTGGTGGCTGGAGACGGGAGGGGAGGGTCACCACGGCACGGCGTCCTGGTGGCTGGAGACGGGAGGGGAGGGTCACCACAGCACGGCATCCTGGTGTCCGGAGACGAGGGGGAGCGATCAACACGTCGGAAATACGCCACAGTACGAACCACCATGTTCTAATAAACGGACATACTGGTGTCCGGAATACGCAACAGATAACTGTATTGGGTCCATTGGTCCTTCCACTAACGCCCAATAACATACACACAACATGACCAACTGCAACGAGTAAGCTGACGCCCGTTCTTCACAGAAGAGGCAGCGTTTTCCCTGCCGTTCACAGTCGTTACGGCTAGTTAGTGATGGCCCATCTTGCGGTCATTCTATCAATCTGGTCTTGTGACTACGCTAGCCGCAAGACCACCGCAGTCTACTGGCGTTTGTAGCATTGCCCACACGTCCACAGGCGGGGTGTTTGCTGACAAACCGGGAAGCGTCTTGTAGGTGACGTATTTCCATTGTGGCGTCATCGGCCGGGGAGCTACCGCCGCATTCTCGCGTGCCGATTGACCTCACCTCACCAAGTGACCACCGCCGGAGTCGGGGGGGGGGGGGGGGGGAAGGGGAGGGGGAGGGGGAGGTCACCGTCCCGTGTAAATCCTCCCAGTCGTTGCTACTATCGTGGAGAGGGTTGTTCAACGCCAGATGCGCTCCAGTCTGTCCAGAAATCATCTTCATGTCTCAGCCCAGCGTGGTCTGAGCCCGCACCATTCCGTCGGAATCTCTCCCCCGGGCGTCCCAGACCGGACTCCGGGAGTCATGAACCGCTGACCATGGCTGGCTGGGCTCCATGGCTGTGGTTCGATCCATGGCTGGATTCGGTCCATGACTGAATTCGGTCCATGGCTGGAGTTCGGTCGATGGCTGGAGTTTGATCCATGGCTGGCGTCCAGTCTATGGCTGAACGTCGGTCCATGGCTGGAGGTCGGCCGATGGCTGGAGGTCGGTACATAGCTGGTGTTCGGTCCATGGCTAGATATTGATCCACGGCTACAGTTCGGTTCGGATCGGTCCATGAAGTTCGCGACTGTTCGCCCTCGTTCGTCCAACGGCGTTGGCCTCGGGCCGTTGCTTCTCCAGGTTGAAAAGATTATGACCCAATTTCGATACCCTGCGCTTGACGTTTCTTACACTGTGCAAACTTTATGTCATCATGTTATGCAACACGATAGCATACCCTTGGGTAACACGATTTTCTTATCTTTATCACGAAAACGGAGGTGAATTTTAACATCAGATTGCTACCATAAATGTACCAACAATGTTACAATGTTGTGTAGTCAAAACAGCCCACATGTGGAAGTCCTGAAAATGCGATAGAACAAGTTTTAAAAATGCACTGCCTGTCCCTGAAACTCTCTGGCGCTATGCTCACTGCTGCAAGCATATAGCCCCGTCCAAACAGCGACCGACCGTGTCGGCCCGGGCCGCGCCGAGGCCGCTCAGTAACAACATCTTCAGCAACGCCGGCATCCACTCTCGCCGCCGTCCGAGCGCTCACCCGTCGTTGATGCGCGCGGTGAGGTGGCGCTCCCGCGCCAGCAGCTCCTCCCGCGCCGTGTCGCACTCCAGCACCGACTGCAGCGCCTCCGTCTCGTCGCCGGTGACCTCCTGCTCCACGTGCAGCACGCTCACGTGCGAGGGGATCACCAGCTGGCCGCTGGAACAGCGCCGCCGGCCGTGAGAGGCGGCGGCGGGCCGCCGACAGGCGCCGGTGGTGCCCCGCAGTTTGTATCATCAGGCGGCAGACCAAGGTCTGTTCGGCTACGAAACCGAGCGCCAGCAATGCGTCAAGCAAGAACGAGTGGACGATGGAGTAACGGGTCGGTGATTTACGAATGAACATGTGCATGACAGGCTCTCACGACAGTTTGATGATTTGTTTACGGCATTCGCGTGATTTAGATGATGACACCAACATCGCATCTCTGTCGCCAGCTGACGGGTAGACGTCGGCAAAATACCAAGGTACGAATTGAGTCCGACACGTTTTCAAGCGCACTTACTCCATGAATACGTCAAACGCTTCATATTTCCCTCTAAAAGATGACGTCATCACTTCGCGTAACTCGCTTCACATACAGACAATGAGCCTCTTGAGACGGAGGTAACGGACAAAACACACCGAAGCGAAGGCCTTGGACGAGTGGGCATCACGTGCGCGTGTCGCACCGGGGTGATTCGATCTTTCGATCGTGCGCAAGGTGAAGTTCTTTTACACTCATTGCATGGCGTGTTTTCCGTTTAGCAGCTGGCGTGTTGGTGGTGGTGAAGCAGCCGCGGGATTCACCCACCTGGAAATCATTCGCAGCATGGTGGTCTTGCCGAGGCCGTTCCTGCCCACATAGCCGTACCGCCGGCCGTACACCAGCGTTATGTCCGCCCCGGTCATCAGCACCCTGCCGAGACACGGCGGCACGGGTCAGGGGGCACACTGACATCAGGTGCACCCAGTGGGGATGTGGTGGGTGCACACCCTGACCTCGTCTGACCTCGGCCTCCTGCAGGGACAGGGCAGACGGCGCACGCTTCGTCAACAACACCACGCGAGGACGTGATGGACGGTGCAGGACACGCTGACACCGGCATCCCTCTTCCGCGGACATGGCGCAGAGGGTTCAGAATAGACACTGATATCAGCATGCTCCACAGGAATGCTGGGCAGGCAACACACTATAGTCACCAACATCTTTCCCACTCACCGCCACCGCCCTTCGCGCACGTCGCATGTGCGTGCTTTGCCCCCCCCCCCCCCCGCCCCCCACTCTACTCCCACCGCACCCACTTGTCTCCGATGGTAATGTCGAAGTTCTCGATGCGAATGTCCTTGCACATGTTGGCGCCGCGGGCTTCTGCGCGCACGTCGCGTTTGGAGATGACCTGCGAGGCGCTGGCCGTCTTCTCGGCCAGGCTGGCCGCCGCTGGCGCCGGTGCCGCGCTCTGCTTCTCCAGCTTCTTCTTGATCTTCTCCTCAGCCTTCTCCAGCTTCTTGGTGTCCACGCGCTAGCGGCGGATGGCAGAGCGGAGGGGGGTGAGGTGAGCACTAGTCGATGAGAGAGAGAGGTGTGAAGTGAGCACTCGTCGATGAGAGGGAGATGTGAGGTGAGCACTCGCCGGTGAGACGGAGGGGTGAGACGAGCACTCGGCGGTGAGACGGAGGTGTGAGGTGAACACTCGCCGGTGAGAGGGATGTATGGGGTGAAGACTCGACTGTGAGAGGGAGGTATGAGTTGAACACTCGCCTGTGAGAGGAAAGGGTGGGGTGAGCACTTGCCGGTGAGGTGAGCACTCGTCGGTGAGATGAAGGTGTGACGTGAGCACTCGTCGGTGAGAGGAAGGTGTGAGGTGAGCACTCGCCGGTGAGAGGAAGGTATGAGGTGAACGCTTGCCGGTGAGACGGAGGTGTGAGGTGAACACTCGCCGATGAGAGGGAGGTGTGAAGTGAACACTCGTCGGTGAGATGAGGGTGTGAGGTGAGCACTCACCGGTGAAACGGAGGTGTGAGACGAACACTCGCCGGTGAGAGGGATGTGTGAGGCAAGCACTCGCCGGTGAGGGGATGTGTGAGGTGAACTCACTTGTGAGAGGGAGGTGTGAGATGAATACTCGCCTGTGAAAGGGGGGGTTAGGGAAGCACTCGCCTGTGAGATGGGGGTGTGAGGTGACCACTCGCCGGTGAGAGGCAGGTGTGAGGTGAGCACTCGCCGGTGAGAGAGAGGGGTGATGTGAGCACTCGCCGGTGAGAGGGAGGTGTGAGGTGAGCACTTGCCGGCGAGAGAGGGGTGAGTTGAGCACTCATCGGTGAGAGTGAGGGGTGAAGTGAGCACTCGCCAGTGAGAGGGAGGGTGAGGTAGTTCGCCATCGTGTTCACGTTGCCGAGACCTTAGCACGATACTACAACCGTTTTCGCTAAAGATCTAAGCCTGGCGTAGATGTACGGACAGGGGTCAAAGGTACTGGACACACTTCCTGGAAGTTTAACATTGACGCTGTGACCATGCACGAAAACAGATGGCTTTATATGGGGTTTGGGTTTTCTGCTCTCCTCTTTGCGGTCATTGCAAGCTACCACCGAATCCTTCTGGATTACTGATGGCCACAACACCAAACAAGTCTGGTCTCTTCTGACACATCAGCCATGCAGAAAAAGGCCGGTCCTGATGGTCAGCCGTGATTACCTCAAGCATTTTAGGTCAGAACTCAGTCTCACTACATCTGCCAATGGAGCTGAGGTGCCGCACATGTGCTTTCACAGCCAGACAGCAGCTGAGTGGTCAAGGACAGGGAGCCGCAAAAGATCCGGGCCTAGCCTCCATCGTTCCACTACCGTACCCGGCCCCGTCTCATTCAATTCAAGTCAATGCCATCCCATCGCGTCCCATCTCATCTCATCTCATCTCATCTTATCAAATCACATCACATCACATCAATCACACCACATCACATCTCATCCCATTCCATTCCATTCCACCCAATCCCGTTCAATCCAATTCCCACACCCCTGAGCGGGACTGACCGAGACGACCTCCTTCTGCGCCAGCCAGATGCTGGGCATCTCCTGGACCGTGTCGTCTCCGGCCAGCGAACCCAGGTGCACGGGCGCCTCCAGTCGCTTCCGGCCGCCGTTGGCCACCTGGTGGCCGTCCGGAGCACTAACTCGCAGCTGCGCCATCACCCGGTCACAAAGCAGGCTGCCGATCACCACCCCGGTCAGGGTTACGGTCAGGTCACCGACAGGTCACGCTCAAGGCCACTGTACCCTGCACAGAACAACGGCGGAGAAGACCTCGCGCACAGGTCGACGTCGAGACCGCAGTCCCCGCTGGAATGTGGTGTTTAGCATAGCCTCCACCAATTCCTTCGCTCCTCGCCACCCACTAAGCGTTCACCGCTGGTGGACACTGGCGTTGTCACGCATGGTCGGATTGAGACGTACTGATTACGTTTGTCAATTCAACATATGAGATTTGATGACAGAGAGCACGCCTTAGTAGGCGCAAGCGGACCGCATAAGCAAGTCGGTAAGCAAATCCGTACCAGGGGCAACATGAGAACAGAGCACGACGGACCAGAAGTTAGGTCAGGATAGAACGGTGTATCGACGTCAGGTCACGACAGAGCGGTGTATCGACGTCAGGTCAGAACAGAGCGGTGTATCGATGTCAGGTCAGGACAGGAACGGTGCATCGGCGCAGGTCAGGACAGAGCGGTGTACCAACGTCAGGTCAGGACAGAGCGGTGCGCCGTCAGGTCAGGACAGAGCGGTGCACCGACGGCAGGTCAGGAAAGAAGCGGTGCACCGACGTCAGGTCAGAACAGAGCGGTGGTACCGACGTCAGGTCAGGACAGATCGGTGCAAACGACGGCACGTCAGGACAGATCGGTGCACCGACGTCAGGTTAGGACAGAGCGGTGTACCGACGTCAGGTCAGGACAGAGCGGTGCGGCCGACGGCAGGTCAGGACAGAGCGGTGCACCGGGCGTCAGGTCAGAACAGAGCGGTGTACCGACGTCAGGTCAGGACAGAGCGGTGCAACGACGGCACGTCAGGACAGAGCGGTGCACCGACGTCAGGTCAGGACAGATCGGTGTACCGACGGCACGTCAGGACAGATCGTGCACCGACGTCAGTTAGGACAGATCGGTGTTACCGACGTCAGGTTAGGACAGATCGGTGTACCGACGTCAGGTCAGGACAGATCGGTGTACCGACGTCAGGTCAGGACAGATCGGTGTACCGACGGCAGGTCAGGACAGGTCACAAACACTGACCGAAACCACGTGCTCGCTGTCGTCGCCGGCCACCTGCTCTACGATGCCGCCGATCGCCTCGTACACGTCATCGCCGGACTCAAACTCCTCGCCCGAGTCGAGCACCCCTGCCGGCGAGGGGGCGTGCCAGAGGTCAGTTCCACTCCGCCGCCAGGTCGCGGCTCATTTACCCACAGCCGTGGCATCGGACGACCCCGTGACCCCCTCCCCGTCCCGTGCTGTCGGCAGTCATTTTAGCTTGTACACTTTGACTGGCCATGTCCATCATTTTGCTTGAAGACTTGATGCAACGTGCAAGTACTCTGGTTACAGCTCGCACATAAAGTGTGAGAATGTTGCATCGCGGAAATAGTCGAATAAATGTGGAGCGTGTAAAAAGCGTGTCTAAAAAGGTAAGGAAATGCGTGCCAAATGTTACCGCCCGTAAATGGTGCCACTTGCATACGGCGGATATTCGGCAAACACATTTTTCGCATGGAAGTTATCGAAAAAGTAGTGCCCAAAATCATCACGACTGGTCAGCCAACAAAATACTTTTCTTTCAAAACTCCAAGCATAGCATTTTCCAGGATTCTTGAGACATCAGGACGTAGACATACCAGGACAACTCGGCAATGACCACAAAAGTATTGGGAAAACATATTATTTCCAACCTAACATTCTAACACCAACTGCAGCCAGGAGCTACAACAGCGAATTTCTACCCCAAAGTTTCCTCAACATGAGTCACAGTTGTAGTTCGAAGATTAGCAGCATCTTGACACGGCCCATGTGACATGGGCTTGAAACCATTCTTCCCGCTACCACAACGACAATCTCTGCGAGTCTACTGATCAAGTCCCCTGCCGATAACACTCGAAGCCAACCTTCCCAGCTCAACACCACGGTCAAGCTCTACTGAAAAAAACCTGGTGTCAAAAGGTTGAGCCACGTCCAAGGCGTTTTCATGTAAAACAGGTGTGTGGTTCAGCTGCCGCCACATCCAGTCCATATACTTGCTGAGGCCGGTGTAGACGCTGGGCAAGCCCGCGTCGCCGCAGCCGCGGCCACTCGACACCACGGCCACCAGCCGCTGCCGGCCGGCGGGGCCGACGGCCAGCGGACCGCCGGAGTCGGCGCGACACGCGTCCCGGCCACCGCCGGTCACGTCGGCTGCACACAGCATACGGCCACCGAAGCCGCCCGGGAACAGCTGGCGCACGAGCGAGTTGGGCGCGGCGCCGTCCAGGTGCAGGCGCTCACATTCGGTCGGATCCGTCACTGTCACGTCCGCCTCCAGCAGCACGGAGGACGGGCGTCCGGCAAACCTCGTCACGCCCCAGCCGGCGACGGTGGCGCGCTGGCCGGGCCGCACCCGAACCCAGCTGTGCCGGCTGCTGCCTCACGGCCGCCGACAGCGTCAGCATGGCTAGGTCGTTCTTGAAGCCAACATGTTCCGGGTGCACGACGACGCGCAGCACGTCCCGATCGACGTGCTGGCCGTCGGTGGTCGTGCCGAGCCAGGTCTCACCGAGCCGCACCACCAGCTGACTGGGCGCCACTCTGACTAGACAGTGGGCCGCCGTCAGCACGTGGCGCGAGCTGAGCAGTGAGCCGCCGCACAACCAGCGGACCGAGCCGTCCGGCTGGCGGGCCCCCAGTAGCGCGATGAACGTCCACTTGGTCTGCCGCTCGCTAGGGGACACCTCGTCACCTTGGGAAATGGGAACGGGCCTGCCATCGTCTACCTGTTGAAAGCTCAGGGAGGGTTGTTCGAACGCATCAAGCAGGGCCGGACTCAAGGCGACCGTCAGCAGGAAGAGCCCGCAGTAGCGACATGACACCGGCAGAAAGAGTGGTGCCTGCTGTCCGCCATCCGCGCCTTATATACGGCGGAATACGCCGCCAATCTCATCACGAGCGCCGCTTCAGCCGCTGCGGCGGCCGCTGGCGCGAACCAGTCGGTAAGTACGGATCCGTGGTCAGCCGGCGCTAGGTACAGCCATACCTGACAACCCGGGGCCTAGGTTCCTCCACCAGATGTGGAGGCGAAAGGCGGCGGGAAATTCCGGCTCGGGGAATGCAATCTACCCCCAGCTTCGGATGCATCCAGCCACGGCACGGCGGCGTGCTTTTGCAATTTGCCATTTAGCCGTTCGTCATTTCGGCATGTCAGCTTGTTGACATGTCGCCACGTTGCTAGCCGTCATTAAGGAGCTTCCCATTTCGGCACGTCGGCATTCTTCCATGTCGCTGACATGGAAGTCGTCATATACCAGTCGACAAACAGGCGCTCGACAAATTGAGTCGATTTTTGTCCGGACACCTCGGTGACGTGACGACAGTTCCAGAGATATCGGCATGCATACTTTCGACCACCATCGAAGACCATCACACAAATTAAACAATCATTTTGAAAGGTACGTATTCACCTGAATGCGGCAGGAAAATACATCAAATCGGGAGTAACGGCAGACACGGGCCAGGTGGAAATGTGGATAATAGGCGAATCCTAACCTGGATGCGATCGGGGAAATGGATCAACTCGACCGGTGGCGCAGCGGTCCCGAAGTTTGCATTATGACCTCTTATCGTGCTCAGGCCATGCAGCATAACATAAGCATGTAATGTGAGGACAAACCCACAGCTAATGAAGGGCTCATGGCTGGCAGTACGCTCACTTATGATATCCGCCACGGATCCGCCGTAGCTGCTCGCGGAAACACACATCACAGCCAAGGTCAGATCGGCGATTTGTCCTGGCTAGATGCATGCGGTATGACTAATTAAGGGACACGTTGACCGAAGTTATACCGCTAGTTAAGAAACCATAACTGCATTTAGGTAGTGAATTAGACTACTCATAATCGGCGCTGGAAACACCACGACAACATGAGTCACTCACATGTTCGCACTCACGCCAGTGATTCAAAGATTAGTGAATCGGGATGCAGCGTGAAAACATTTAGAACTAAACAATACGCAAGTTGAAATTTGACTCATGATGCGACTGGAAAATTTCCGATGTGATAGCAAATCTCTCCAAACTCCCAAACCCACCAAGCAAGGCACATTCTCTCATTCAGGGCATTTTCGATGCAGCAAAGACAACACGCGCCACCAACGACCTTTGACCTAAAGCGGTTTGATATCTTATCTGAACTAGGATCGTCCCTACGCATATAACAGACCGCGACTTAGCCCGGAAGAAAAGGGCAACGGAAGCTATGGTTGAATCCGGTTGTCAGAATTGATTCCTGGAGTTACATATCAGTGGGTCCTTTGAAAGTGAAGGTCTTAGATGGAAGCACGAGTGAAATCAACGGGTCATCGTTAACACCATGCGCCTGTAACAAACGCATTTTCGTTTGCTTCCTTGCTGATGTTTTTTTAAGAATGCGGTTGAGGAGGCGGGGCAAAGGATCAAGCCAGCTAACAAACCCCAAATCAAGAAAACTGAATGTCTGTTCTAGGAATCATTCGAATAATTGTCGACGAGTACCCGCCTTATTTACAGAATGAATACGAAAAAAGCTTAAGTACCTGTCATGCACATCGCATCACATATTCCTCAAAACACAGGCATATCAAGAATTTGCGCATCCTCAGAGCCAAAATCTGAGCCCAGATATCGCGGCTGCGAGGGGGGGAGGGCACACACCAAGATATCCTTATGTCCGGGGACGTAGGGAGGTCTAGGGGTTCAAGCTGGTCACCCTGGGAGGGGCGAACAATTACCAGAACACCACCTGGTTAGATATGTACTGTCATTGACATCAGGAGGGCCGCACAAGATCCCGGCGAGGGATGAGAGGAGACAGCGTGGCTCCTGGATCTCCCGTTTGTGAAGCCTGGCGGTGCAGGACGAGACCGTTTCCGGTACAACAGGCCCGCCGAAAGCAATGTTTATTCGGTAAGAAGCGACCTTCGCTGCCCAATACTACGCACATGGATTGTGTTTGGACACTGCTGCACGCATACAAGGTCGTGCACGGCGAGGAAACGTACCTTCCACATACTGGAACAGATCTTCGTCCATGTGTGGGAAGGCATCGCGAACAATTCGGGCTGCCATTGTCCTGTGGCGAACCAGAGCACGTTACAGCTCTCAGGCCGTTGCTATGGTGATAACTTGTGACTAGAGAACAAACAGCGAAGAAGCATTAGGAGTGAAAATTAGACATTTTAAGGTTCAGTGACATGTGTGTCCGCCAGCTTAGCTTACTTGTCAGCTTTCAGGAAATAGAACGACTTTTTCTGCTGGAACCCAGCCTCACTGAACTTCATTTGTTTCTGCCTTTTCAGGTGGGACTGCATGGGAACTAGGGCACCAGGGGAGCTAACTAATGCTCACTTTCTTAGGATATTAAACTGACCCTATGCCATGGGCTAGAAAGAGATGAGCAAAATTACCAAATGTGTACTGCAGCCTCTGCTCCCACCTAGCTTGGGGAAAATTCCATTGTCCCTGTCATGCAGGATGTCCCAGCATGAGGTATGCCATACATGGCGCAGATGCAGTGTGAGCCTGGCTTGGGTCTGAGTCGCACAGCGGTGGCTGGGGTCAACGTGTCACGCAGGAGGGCATTCCAGTCAAAGGGAACATCATGTGAAGTCAGGCACCACCTCCATGCAACACAAGAAGATGCTGAACTAGCAGCCCCGTGGTGCTAGGTGCAAGTCCAAAGGAGTGTGCATTGTTTGGCCCAAATGAAATGCAGGCAACTGACATTCAGCTGACAGCTGACCAAAGAGGGTGACCAGGCCTCAGGCCAAGGGTGCTACAGCATTGTGCAGCACGTGACACCCTCCTCAGCAATGTCCGGTGAAAGGGTGCAGGCAAAATTATCCATCGAACTAGATGGCACAGCCTGGGTGGTGTGTTCAGAGTACACACAGGGTTTCGCTTAGCAGGTACTCAATTGAAAACCATTCATGTGAATCACTCAAATCAATGTGGTAAAAAGGGCTTTATGGGACTATCTTAAACAGTACTGGCTCCAGATATCCAGCATTGGCTCCTGATATATGAGATATTTTCTAATGGTGGGTGCTAGTAAAATCTGATTTGACTCTTGTGAAGGACTTTTAATGGCAGACCACTCCACCAAGGATCAGTGACGGAATACAATGATGATGTCACTCAGGCCAATATCCGTAGTACAGTAATGCCACCCTGAGGCAACTGAGTCCCCCCCCCCCCCCCCAGATGATGCTGTTCCCTCACTTTCCAGACAAGGCTTGTCCTTATCTTTGGATCTGCCCCACATTGTTCAAGCCCAGACTACCAAATGACCCTTGTATGATGAAGCTGTACTCAGTGTATGCTGTATATGTATACAAGTACAAGCAAGCAGGGGCTAAGGTTCACAAACAACTACCACAGAATGATCACCACCTGGGTTGCTGATTTAAGAATTATTTAGTTTACATTGCAAGTCCATCAACAATGAATGAATGACCCAAACCAACATGGCTTTTCTTGGACCTATGTCATACAGAGTGAAAGCACCTAAAATTTACAAATATTCAAACACACATGAATATACACCAAATGTGAAGTCAACAGATAAGTAGAGTTGAGAGATAAAAACATAAAAATGGGACAAAAGCATGATTCTGCTGTGAAGTAGTTATGACAGCAAATTCATGAAGCAGCTTTGCTTTTGACATTGCTGGTGTTGCCTGCTCCCAAAATCTCAGCTGGCTGTCTCCAAGCACACCTAAGTCTCCCTCCTGCCACACTTCATGTACTTTGGTGCCACTCCAGTAAAGTCAGGTGCATATTGCAAAGAACAGTCTGCATCACTTTGCACATGAACCCTCCACAGGAAACAGCGCGCTCATGTGACTGCTTCGCAGGCATGTTGAGGAAAAAATTCAGCAAAATGCCTGATGGTGCACTGACATGTAGTGGAATGCCATTCACAAAGATGGTGAAATCCCCAGCTTAAGAGCATACCCCAGGAGTATTTCAACTGCAGCAAGCATGCACTGTCAAGGCAGCCTATGCACCATAAAGTAGAACCATTCAATGTTTGCCTGTCAACATGACTGCAGCTAGCTTATTTAGTAATTTTATGTTACCCTGATGTGTTGAGCTCGAAGACATCTTTAATAGAGCACACAATTCAAGGCCTGACTTAAAAATACAGGCACATTACATGCTTACAGCATTGGTATTCCTCCATCCTCAGTCAAGTGCCATTTTCGCATGGACTTATATGCTTATATGGGAAGGATGCTGTGTTAAATTGCATGAAGGAGCACTGTCTCTAATGTACTGGATCAACTCATCCTGTACTATACATTACATAATTCAGATAGAGAAGGCATTAGGTTGACTGCTTGATGGCCTTCAGTATCATACACCTTTTTGGCGAATTGGATCTACCTGCTAAAATTTCTAAATGTACTGATGCCTGCCAGCATCTGACAAAGTATGTTCTGAGGAGCAGACAGAGTGATAATGACCCAAGTCTTTTGTAAAATGAGCATACCTATTGCAAAGTATGCTTTTTGCACACATTCAAAGGGATATTCCAAAACATTTCTAAGAACCATGTCAGAAGGGAAAAGGGGACCATCTATGCATTCTTTAAACATGCAAGGACATATGGGTTTGGATGGACATTTGACAAACCAAAGTACAACAAAGGGGCTGGGATGAGTTTGGATGCAGTAGTTACACTCAGGTGTAAATATAAATCATGCTCATCTTTTTTAACATTAAAATCCCCAAAATCAATTACCATTTTCTTCTATTCATGGCAAGCAGGATAGCTATCTTTGTTTCATGCTTCCCGTCCAGAGTGCAAAAAGAACAAATTATGCTGAACATATCTGGCATAACAGTGACATTACTGCACCAGTTTCAATGCATGTATGTCATTGATCTGAGCAGACAGAATCCTGTACACAATGTCCACCAATTTCACTGCACAGAGGCCCAATGTTGCAGGGCATCACAATGTTATAAAGGTAATTTTGCACAACAGGAGTCTGAAAATGTTTTTACACCACAGCAGTTTAAAAATTTGAGTCAATTTTGCCTTGTCCAACTTACTGAATGCTGCCACAAGTCAGGCCACATGGATGTTATGTAGGCATCCAACAGTGAAAGGATTTTTGGCAGACTCATCTCCAGAGTCAAAATTAGGGTTTAAAGAGCACCCTTGGCATGTGCCACATGGGCAATATGTTGTGATGTAACATGTAATGCAACATGTAAAAATGGTCACTGTACATACAAGAGAATGGAGGTACTACCCAGCATAGCTGGTGAACAGCCAGGGGAGTGAAAGCAAACAACCAAAAATGCATAGCATATTTCATGGCGATGCCAAAAATAATTTAAAAAATATACAGACACGAGCATAACATGCTTGCAACATTATCAAAAAGCTGTCCTTTCACAAAATACTGATGGAAATGGACGCTACACCACGTATAAGCTCAAGATGGTATGGGAGACAGCCGTAACCCATTATAGATCGCACAAGCTTAGAGAGATGACCTCTTTACGAGGTGTCCGCAACACGGGCCATCCGCGGCGTGGCAATCACATATAGACGCCTGATTTGAATGAAAATTTCCTTCTAATCATGCATGGTCAAAATAGCTATCTAAGTACCTGCCTATAATTGACGCGCCCCAGCACGGACACACTGGTGGCAGCTGGCCGTCACTCATCGGCAAGCCAGTGCCCAGGGCAACGTTGTGCAAGCCGATTTGTCTCTGCGTGTCCATAATTGAGGCATAACAAAGCTTCCCAATTCTGGCAGCCATTACCGGCACCAGGGTTATTGACAATGATGGGTAAATATTTGTAATTTATTGACGTTTTTGCCATTTTACGGATAGAATATGCATAACTAGTTCCTTTTCAGCTTTTTTTCTCAAATATATATGGTATAATATGACAAATTGACAAAAATATCAAGTAAACGCCCTACATATTTGTTGTGAAGTGAAGTCTACATAGTAAAGACATCAAAAAAACTTCACACACTCACAGCGACCACACCGTGTACACCGCGCACGGCGGAATAGCATCGGCACTGTGGGACCACGAGAAAATTGGGGGTGGTGGGTTGTGTGTGGTGAAGTTGGGATACGGAAGCTAACGTTGTATCGCTGATCAAGGTAGGGTCGGTATCCTTCGAATTTTTAAATGGAACGAGGGCGTCTGCCTTTGCTATGTGGTGTCTGGTTACGCACCCGTCGCTGTGGTATCAAATCAATGGCTGCAAGCTTTTCGGTGTTGTAACTGCCCGTGCCATACATGACGTGAACAAGCAATGACGACTGTGACTGTCGTCTGTTTCAGGGCAGTTTCAAGGACAACGCCATACTCATCGCATTCTGAAAGCTGTGGGGCTTGAGGCCATCCATAAAAGGCTGTGTTTTGAAGGTTGCAGCTGCAGCCTGAAGGTGCTAAAATGAGTGCAAAGTCAGGGAATCAATTTGAGGCGTAAGTGCCATACTTTGTATTTTAAAAAATTGTTTGGCTTGTGATGAATTGGTGGTACCAATCTAGCTTTCATCATATCAGAAGCATTGTACAAGACAGTGACTTATGCTGCTGGTCCCATTTTATCCTGTAGCATACAACAGCACCTCCCTGCAGCCTGTGTTGGTGTTTTCTCAAAATATTGGATAAAAATTACCATGGAACCTCATTTGTCACCTGTACTTGACCAATGCTGCACAGCAAAGTGCTTAAATCTGGCATAAGAAGTAAGGAGATACTGTCATAGAAACCAGGGTGGTACATCTAAACATTTTCAGGATGAGAATCTCATTTCTCTTTATTGATATGAGATCATTAGGTTTTGTTGCAAAACATGCAAAAATGCATATTTCAAGCATGATAAAATGCATGAAATACAGTGTTAAAACAATAATCTATGCACATAGTATTACATACACATGTTATGATTTAATCATGCAGTCTTCAGTGGGTACTTCAATACTGCAGTAGGTATTTAATGGCCAGGCTCATTGTCCTTGCAGGGCTTTCATCTGTCACTTATAACAGTATTTATTTGCAAATGGTGATTATGGTTGCACTTCCTTGCACTCAGCACCTTCCTGAGTTTGATATACCTATATTGGTCATCAGTTGTATGATGATAACCTTTTTTCTGAAGGTGACATAATGTACTCCATCTGTATTTTTTGTGACTGGTGCTGTATGCTTCAAAGCGCTTGTTATATGTGACCACTTTTGTTATGAAGGTATGATAAGAGTTTAATCCATGTCACCATGTCTTATAAATGACTGTTTTTCAGTTTAAAAATGAGTGATGACAGTGGAGAGGAAGACAGGGAGCTGAAAGTTGGTCATAAACTGGTATGTAATAAATATCTGTATTTTGCATTTGTGGGTTCTGTGGGTACTAACATCTTATTTTAAGATAGAGTGAAATCAGTTTGATGCCTTTTTTGCTGCTTTGTGTGCACCAGTGGCATGGATGAGTAATATGATTTCATGTCCCCTTATTTTAATGTTAAAATACTTGTATCATATTGTAGGATATGCCTATAGGTCATCATATCTCTGGTGCATACTGAAGTACACAGCAGCAGTTATGCTGTTGTCATGGAGGCAGCATTGTCATTGGGGACCATCAGCCCCTAATGTGATGTTACACCATCTTTGTTTCAGCCTCCTCTGGAGATCCCATCACACCATCACAAGCTGCAGCATGTGCACTGCTTGTGGTTCACGGCACGTTCGCCAGGCAACAAACACTCGGCCAGCTTTGACCAGAACCTCAAGCTGGTTGGAAGGTATGGAACATTGCAGACTGTCACATACTGGCTGGATTGATACCATGACATTCCAAGGGCCGCTAGCTATCCATGCTTGCTGAGACAGGTGTAGGTTGCTTTGCATCACATGAAATGCCTTGGGGGATTGCGATGAATGTGATATTTGGTAATGTGTATAACACAGTCGAGAGAATTTGGTAATGTGTATAACACAGTCGAGAGATGCGTCACCGGCTGTCTGCAGTGTCTGGTGCTGTGACTGATGCTGATGTGGCGGCAGGTTTGGCTCAGTGGAGCAGTTCTGGTCGATATACGGGCACTGTGTCAGGCCACATGACATGAAGGGCCACAGTGACTACCACCTCTTCAAGGAGGGCATCAAACCCATGTGGGAGGTGGGTGCCGCCGGCTGGCTCTCGGTCTCGGCACTGGCCGGTGTTTCCTCTTGTGCTCATGTCTGGTCCATGTGTGGCCAATGGTACCATTCACTCAATTATTTGCGGGCCAAGGCATGTCGGAGCGCGCAGTGTAATTCTTGCCTCAGTGTGTTGCGGCGCATCGCCGAAAAGCATGGGGCTTGTTTGCTCACCTGTTTGATTTTGCAAGATGCGCTATCTTTTTGATCGTAATTCCGCAACTTCTGACGCCGTTTGAAGGAGGTAAGCTAGCGTAAATCTCGTGCCCCACTCCAAGAAGAGAAGCCGCGGCCGCGCTGCCCCCCTGCGCGTGCCTGGGCCGTGCTGACCCAGCGCCGCCGCCGTCCGGCCGCCAGGACGACGCCAACAGTCGCGGCGGGAAGTGGATCGTGCGGCTGCGCAAAGGCCTGGCGTCGCGCTGCTGGGAGAACCTGGTGCTGGCGCTGCTCGGCGAGCAGTTCATGGTGGGAGAGGAGATCTGCGGCGCCGTGGTCAGCGTGCGGCACATGGAGGACATCATCTCCGTGTGGAACCGCACGGCCGCCGACACGCCCACCACCGCCCGCATCCGGGACACGCTCAAGCGCGTGCTCAACCTGCCGCACAACACCATCATGGAGTACAAAACGCACACGGACAGTCTCAGGTACGGATCCAGCCTGTCGCACACCATCATGGAGTACAAAACGCACGCGGACAGTGTCAGGTACGGGTCCAACCTACGCACGCGGACAGTCTCAAGTACGGACTCAAACTTCGGAACGACACTCATGCAGTACGCAACACACACGGACAGGCTTGGGTACGGACGGTTGGGTGCCGCCGTCGACGAGTAAAAACACACCAGCAGTTTCTGGTACGGAAGCCGGGCTTCAGCTGGGACACAGGAACACCCCGACAGGATCGGATTTTGGGCGATCAGACAAGTTCCATGGATTACAAAACCCATGCCGACAGTCAGATGTGGTCGGAAAACGCCGTCACTCACTACCAACAGCACATCGAGGATCTCTAGTACTGGCTGTTAATCCAGTCATAGTGTGTGAGACGCACACTGTGAGCCTGGCATACTTCGCCGTGATAAGATACAAAAGGCGTGCGGACGGTGTCAGGCGTGACCTCTCGGACATCACCGGGGTGGGGCACAGCATCTGCTCCCGGGGGCACAGAGCGCACAACGGCTGTCTGTGAAATAGGCTCCTCCCAGCCTGCAGCACGAGTGCTCATGTCACCATGAAACGCAGAACGCTCGTGAGAAGCCTGAGGTGCAGATGGCCCAACTGTCTAGCAACTTCGTGTTCGGGGCTTTCGACTCGTTATGGTTTGGCTTAGAGTCCTGTGGGGCTGCGGCGGTCTTTTCAGGGCTATGGGGTAAAGCAGAGAGGTGGTTGGTTGGAGGATATCCTGGAGATCGTGGGGAACCGGCCTGCACGTGCGCCGGCTCATGGCTGACGTCCGTGGCCGTCTGGGAAGATGGGGCGGGGCGGGGCGAGGGTCACGATGAGGCGGTGAGTGGGGAGAGAAGGAGCGGGTGGCGGGTTTGGGCGTGCATACCGTCAGACTCTGGGGACCCTTGGACTGGTGCCAGCCTCGTACGCCGCCCGTCTCCGCTCACACGCCAGGCGCGCGCCGGCCCACAGCCCAGGCCGCCCTCCTCCAGCGCCGGTTGGTGACGTCATCTACGTTCTCTTTCAGAGACAACTCTAGCTTCCGCAACACGGATCTGTTCGTCAAGTAAGCGTCCACCGGAGTGGAGTGGCATGCTGACATCTAGCGGCTGGTGATAGAAGCTTCGACGTCTCCCGGTGTCTGGTGCCTCTCGGCCTCTGTCCAATGGTGCGCCTCGCGCGCGACAGTCATCAAATACACTTGTTTTTACGCATGACCCACGCCTGGTTTCACCGATGATGACGGCACTTTTTGCCCAAGCGGGAGTTGCGTCCCGTGCATGGGAACAGCGCGAACCGCTGGCATGTCTGACAAGCTGACATGTCATGCAACAAGGGACGAACTCTGAGCAGCTATTGTCTCCCGTGTTCCGCACAAAACCGGCACACGACAGCCGCGGCCATGCGCGCTGTGCACCGGACGTCCGCGTCTGTTGGGGCTCGTGTGTTCGCGCAGCGGCTTGTGTGGCCGTATTGATGGGGTGTGTATTGGCCGAGTCTATGTGGTGTGCGTGGTCGTGTCTATGGGTCCCGTGTAGCCATGTCAACGGGTTCGATACGCAGCGGCGGCGCCACGGGTTTTGAGTTGGGGGGGGGGGGGGGGGGGGCAGCATTTTCGAGGGAACCTCCTGGACGAAATGGGGCCTCCTTGCAGGGAGGCCTCCAGCACGGCGTCGTATTCCAGGGGAGCGGCACCGAGAACACTTGCCCATTATCAAACTGGTATATGTATCATATCCAAGTAAATAAACCTTAACAGTTGAAAAACGTAGAATGGGGCCTTCTAATTATCCAGGAAAGGGTCTCGCTAACCCAAAGCAGGGTCCCCTGTCCCAGGAAAGGGTCTCCTG